ACATTATTTGTTCTATGAAATACATTTCTGTATTTTGGTATTCCTATGAAAATGGTCAAAATGATTGTCAGAAACTTTATGGTTTAATTTGAGCGATCCTAGAGATTAAATTGAAGTGATGATTTAAATGTACAGTAGTATATATATTAAAAGTAAAATAAATGTATATTAGATACATGTGATAAGATATCCTTAATCTTATGTAAATATAGATTAATATACAACAAAAACTTGAAATTGACTGCCATTTCCTTAATTAAATAAAAACACTTATCTTAACTACTCAACCTTTCCTATATCTGATGTTATGGAGAACATGCATTTAGCTTATAAAAGTACAGAAAAGGAACAAAGCCAAGTAGAAGTAAAATAATTGAAATCCTATCGAGAAATATTGCATCATCGATGTTTATTTTTCTCTTTAATTTATTCTTTGACCTTTATTGATATTTTGCTATCTACATAGTGTCGTAAGTAAAACTTTAAATATTTGTGATAGATTAATGTTTTTAACAAAAAGGTAAGTAGCTTACAACTAAATTGTTTTTCAAAATGTTTGAAATTCAAATAAATATTTTATATGCTTATAAAATGAAAAAATCTTATATTGTCATGTGAATCTATGTTATCATCTTAAATGTAATATTTATCATGTATTTTACACATATAAATGATCTTAAAACAGATATTGAAAAGTTTCTTCCTTTTTGCATTTCCATAAGCCAATACTTCTGCCTACTGGATTCCAAATTGTGGGAGCCTATAGAGCATAGAACTGCTCTATAGGGTTTCCATACTGTAAATCGTAAATGAAGTAGTCTTGCCTCATTTTTCTCCTTCATAGTGGCTGGTGGAGTTGAACGAGTGACCTTGTGGTTGACAATCTAATGCTCACTCACTGTACCACCAGGTTTCCTTTCTTGATGAACTAGTAGAAGTTACCAAATAACTTGTTCTTAAAGCACGTGTTTTTTGGTTTTTGCTTTCTTATTATACATGGAGCACCACTGCATTCAGGAAAAGAAACGACTGGAATTCAGGATGAGACCACTGTAAAATTTTGCCAGCAATATTTAAGTAAATATTAAAGGTAACTTTGGACGGGTACTTTCAGAGACACTAAAAGCTAAAAGAAAACTAATTAATGTGCGGCTACTTATAAAAAATTAAAATATCAAATCATTTTTCCATCTCAGGCTCTTCCTTCTGTTCAATATTATCTTCTCCACTGCCTTCAGTATTTGTTTTTGACTTCCTCTAGCTCAGTGGTTCTCAACCTTCCTAATGCCGAGACCCTTTCATACAGTTCCTCATGTGGTGGTGACCCTGTATGTGGCTGTATCTGCATATGGGCAGACCTGCCTGGAGATGGATAGAGGAGTTGTGTCTTGGTTCCTAAGACCATCGGAAATATGATCTTAGGCAAACCCTGTGAAAGGGTCGTTTGACCCCCAAATGGGTCTTGACCCACAAGTTGAGAACCGCTGTTCTAGCTCATTCCTTTGAACTCATAAATTAATTCATGGGCGTGAACATAGGGTTGTCCAAAGAAATATATAAAACACAATTAAATGCATACGAAAAGAAACAAGTTATTTTAGCCTATTTCTCATGCAATAATAAATTTTATTCTAACACTTAAATTGGTTTTATATGATTTTATTTATTAATTTGGCAAGGCTAGAAGAAAGGAAGTTGGTCATTTGTAATAGCATAGCATCTCAAATTTTATTCTTTAGTGTGAGCTCAACATTCTCCTCCCAAATGTACTCCTCCCAAAGTAGATACTTGCTAATGTTTGAGGAAAGATCGAAGGAATTCTAGTGGCACCGTTATTAACCGGTCACTATGAACAGAAAGGTCAGTGGTCTGAACCACCAGCTGCTTTGCACCAGGTAGTTGGGTCCGGCTGCTTCCATAAGACACCACTGCATAGCTCTCCTCTGCCCTGTGAAACCTAGGAATCCGCTGCAGGCAATGGGTTGACAGGGGTTGTCATTGTATGGTGGGAAGATATGGTGGGAAGATGGAAATACTCAGCCTGAAGTGGAATCCATGATTATCAAATTCTCTGTTCGCATGGGAATCCAGATACTGCTCATTTGGTTAAATTAAGTAAACCATGGGAAACTAGGGAGGATGAGACGAAGTTTGTAGTGGAGTTGTAGTTCCATCATTGTAGGTGAAGCACAGACATTTTGAAAATAAAGATCATTCTCAATTGTCACATGAGTTTGGGTTTTAATCATCATCTCTTGGATTTAATATGAAGCAGTATATCCCTTCTTTGTTAAAGATCAAATCAATGCCTCTTCTATTGATAGTAACAACCTGAAATAAAATTATGAGACATTTGAAATAATCAGCTACCAAGTATTACTGTGTTTAAAAACTTCTACTTTCCTTCTCTTATTTTATAAAATTATTCTGCAGGCACAATCACTATTCTGTTCTTGGTTAATAATTGAATGTTATTCCCCTGTGTTAATATTTGATACTTTATTCTTAATTTTTAATAGGGTATTATGTTGACTTTTGTACAGTATTACGCTTTAGATGTCAGTTGGCATAGCATGTTGATTATTGTTACATGTTCTTCCCCCGCCCCCAAATAGTGAGATTAAGCTATAAATGGGCAAGAGCACATTTAATCAGCTAAGTGAATTAAAGAAGAAGACCAAGACATTATTCAACATTGGTTTCACTTATTTATTTTTCAATGCATGCAATTATCCTGAGGGAAATATAAAGTAACTCTTATACAGCCCTGTATTTAAAACTGCTTGTTGAGAGCAATGCAATTTTGACAACTTTCACAGTGGTACACATAGCAAGCAAAACTTATTAATGCTAGAACTTCAATTCATAAATGCATAAGTCATTCCAAATATAGGAAACCCTTTAAATATGTCAATATTACATCTAATAGATATTGCTATGGGAAAAGACCAGAGAACTGGGTTTGCATCATAATTTACCCGGAAACACAACTTCTCATCCTACCCTAGAGTTTCACATAAATAATTCTACAAAATGCCCTACTGCCTCAGGCAAAATGGTCGTCACTAAATTGGCATCATGGTCAGATTAGGGAACCAAGTTCCTGCCAGTTCACAAGAAGACCGAAAGCCTGCACTGGATGAGTGGCCTCAGCATCGTGGAGCCCAATAATTGTACTTCCCTAAAATTGATCTGACATGACTAAGACCTAGCCCAAGCAGGATCAATGAACATCAAAAACTAAGAGCTGATTCACTATATGTTTTAACAATAGAGTATAGATGACTTAGTATATTATATACATGTTTAATGTGGAAGCAATTGTTACACTCTTCTTTTACTTACAAGGCATAAGCACCATTACCCTTTCATTAGGTAATTAGTAAAGTCAAAAGTACAAATATAGATAGGGAAATGCTATGCTCCATAGGCTACAAGTATCTGTAACATAATCAGTGAAAATGCAAAATGTTTTGAATAGATAATACACGAAACTTAGATTGTGATTTACTGTTGCAAGGCTGATAATTAAAGTTATAATAGGAATATAATCATCCAAGAGAATATATATAACAGGAAGTCAAATGTCAAAGTAGAAAATATGATCACCTTGTTTTCTTAAGAGACAGAGAGAGACAAAGGCTGAAAGAATGGAAGGCAAATATTGATGTTGGGGAAAATCAGGAAAGTGATAAAAACAAACTGTCCAGAAAAGGAGTGGTCAGCAGTACTAATGTCTTAGGAAGGTGTGTGTGTACTAAAAGCTGCCCTTTCAATAATATTAATAGTTGTTTTGATTTATGAAACAGTTGGTATAGCAATCCTATAACAGTAAATTGTCCAATGGTAGGTAGAAGAGGAATATGAGACAACTATTGTAATAACATTTGTTTCTGACAAATTTGCTTTGTAAAGGGAAAGGGAAAATAAATGCAAGTAGCTTAGAAAATGAGAAGTTTAGTAATGAGCATGTGTTTATTCATAGGTATATTTTACAGCTGGAAAACCTACTGTAGATAAATTCTATCCACATTGTCCACAATACACATGAAGATTGCATATTGCATTAGATGGCTTTTGCTGCATGATAAACCACCCTGAAATGAATTAGCTTAAAAGAGTAGATTAAGGTCAGCTCACTGGCCGTTCTGCTGCCGGCAGGGTGAGTCGCTCTCTGCAGTCACCACAGTTTAACAGGACAGGACTGGTTGATCTGTGACCCTTGCTCTCCTGTCTGGGGCTGACCCACCCTGCCAAAGTCAATGAGGACAAATTGGTCTCATGAAGCAGTAATGAGTGTAAGCCTCCCAGAAGCAGTAGGGGGAAAAAAGGCAAACCTTAATTTGCAAGACTTTTCAAAACT